GCTAGAAGACAGCCTGGAATGCACTCATGGAAAATGAAAGTCATTATTTTCTGGCTTCAAAATGTTATTCAGGAAGATGGATGCTGCAATCATAGATTTTTTTAAAACAAAATTGTTTTGCACTTAATAGCTTAATGCTAATAGAGAATTACTTTTAAATTGGTGTCCAGGCACCAGAAAAGCTATGTTATGGAGAAAAGAACCTTTGTATCTATTAAACATTTATTTTAATATTGTTGTTTCCAACTGCAATCAATCAGCTCTGTATTATATGTATAAATATTGTAATTCAGTGATGGGGGAGGGGAGTAATAGATTGTTACACTAGAGTTTCTCATCCATCATTTAAGAAAGTGATATTTCTAATTCAGAAAATACATATTAAACTACCTTGAATATGCATTTTGTTTACTTTTTGTTCAAATTTGATCATTTTTGATGTAATCAATCCTTTGTTGAATTAAATGTTTGGTACAGAAATATAATCTAAGCTTTGTAGAACAAATTCCTTTTCAAACCTCTTATCTAGAACATTGCTTCTTATTTAATAGAGTTTAATTTTGATTAGGAAAATGAAACAATATTCTGTTTTCCTTCTTAATGGTTTATCTCTCTATATATTAACCAGAGGAAGTTTTGCAGACAGTTTTGTTGGGTAAGGATTTTGCAATTGCATAATACTGTATAATACTATGCATACATATGCATCATAATACTGTGTGTAGAGGTGAAAGACACAACAAGAGTAGATATACACACCTTCTGGCTTGGCTGCATAAAATAAGTTAACACATTGGAGTAGACGCTGCTCTGAGACTACTTGTGGTCTTAAATATCTTGTTTATAATACAGCACTTTTAAATATTACAGAGATGGATTTATCCATGTATTTGTACAGTTTAATAGTGTGTGTCTGAACATATATTATTTTTAAGCAGCTAGAACCAGAATATCTAAATTGTTTTAAGCATTTGCTGTAGAGATGAGAAAACAAAGTAGATGTCGCTCTGTCAAAAGCCAGAATGACAGAAGATAGAGGTATCGAGTATATCTTTCCCTTTAATCTATGCAGAAACGCTCACAATTAGGCAATTAGACTTTGGCATTAGGGAGGCAGCCCAGAACTGAGGCTACTAGACTGAGAACGTGGAACTTTCCTGAGAGTACATAAATACTGAATCTCATGGGCATACGTTATTAAAACTTCCCTTCCTGATCTCAAACAACTTAGCATTGGGTAGAAGTGGTTTTTTTTTTTTTTTTTAAATTCCAAGTAAACTTTAGAAATTTCTAAAGGCATGGGTAAAGGCATGAGACATTAATATTTTTTCCTACAAAAAGGAAAATTTGGGGAGAAACAACTGCAGTAGCTACTTGTAACTAAATTGTAAAGTGTACTTATACTAATATTTTTAAATGCAGTTAGCATATAGAAAACTGCCAGAAACATTTATAAGCTGGCATTTTGATTGTCTATTTCATTAAAGATGAAACTGTACTTTACATGTCTCTTATTTACTTACATTCTTCTAAACTAGGGGCAATGGGAAGAATACTGAAACTAGGCATTACTGTTCAGAAGTTGTTTTATGAACAGATCAGGTTTCACTGTTAAAATACAGTTAAACCTCATCACTGAAAACTAGTGTAGTTGCCTCTCTGTAGAGTGTCCCACAGATGAGTGCGCCATATGGTTTGAGTCAAAATGAGCCAGTTTAGAAAAGAGGTAAGGATAAGGTTTGAAAGATTTTTTTTTTTTCCCCTCTAAAGCTAGAAAAATACAAAAACAGTACTGAAAGGTCAGTAGTATCCAACAATGGGGTAATAATAGCAGCTGCTGGCATATAGTAGCAGTGAGTGCTTTCACTGGCATATCAGTTTGCAGAGTACATATTTATGCTGTAAGGTTATAGTTGAATAGCATACAAGGAGTGTGTTTTGTTTTGTTTTTCAACCTCTTGAGAATACATTTCTTCTGTACCAGTTGGCAATCCTTTAGAACCTTGACCTGCCCATTCCAGCCTGTTTTCCATAGGGGAAAAATTGCTTTTAGGAAGAAGAGGAATACTAGTAACTTTTATCTGGAAAGAAGTTAGCCTTCTACTACAGCTGCAGTTTTTAAATACATATGTTTTTAAATATTTTTAATCACATGATGGGAAAAGAGTGGAATACAAAGTTTTATCTAGACAAATAAGAGTAATAACAATGCTTGCCAATAAATAGTTTAAAGTTAAATAAATGTATTTTAACTATAAAGCAGGTAGGAAAATTCAGTTTGCCTCTTAATCCAACAGCTAAGTGGGCTCCAGAAGAATAATAGCAAAGGAACTTGTTATGAAATAAATACCTGTGAAGCACTAGATGTGCAAAACTAAGTTAAACCTGAAAGCTTAAAATAAATGAAGAAAATATTCCAATGTGATTCTTCGCTTGAAATACCCAATTTTTATAGCAAAAGTGAGCTGCTGAAGGTGAGATTGCTATTTCATGAACAGCCTAACAAGCACAAATAAGAAAGTAAGAGAGATATGTTGATTGACAAAATACTACTCTGATATCCTTTTCTCTCAAAGTTAAAACTTCTGATTTTTGTTTTTCCCCCCAAATCATGCCCTTGAATAAAGTGAAGGACCAAAATAAAAAGACCTTTTTCTGTTGAATGAATAAAGTAATTACCTACCTGACATTAATGAGGGAAGCAAGCACTTGCAGTGACACTTTTGAAGACAGGAAAAATATCCTGTTCACAGAAGATTTGAGGGCATTCTGTATATGGTTTTTTTTTTTTTGGAATTGAGTTGTTGAATGGAAATATTTGAACTCTTCAGCATCTGTGGTTTGAGTAAAAAAGTTTCCAGAAAAGGTTATGAGAAGCCACTAGTACAATTAATATATATCTAGCAACAATATGCTCCTGCTAAAGTAAGCCTCAGCCTACTGTATTATCCTAGATAAGAAGAGTGCTGAGTTTGAATCACCAGTAGGTAGTAGCTTTTTTTTTTGGTGTGGTTTTGTTTTTTTAAAGAATCTGGAGACTACTGGTAAATTTGATTTCTTCAACAGCTGATTAAGACCTTGACAATTGCAAAGAGCAAGTTCCCTCAGATAAAATAAGCTACCTACTCTCAGCCTATCAATTTTACTGCTGCATACCCTGCTCAAATGAAATTTATAACCCAAACAACTTGCTGTCTTCTTCTGGAAAGAAAGAAAGAAAGAAACAGAAAAAAAACCCCGAAACACTGGATAAGCGCAGGGCATCTCTTTCATGGACTTCTAAAGGTAAGCATTTAGACATTACTGCTGCACTAAGGAGTGCAGTCCTTAATTTCATTTCCTATGCTTAACATCATACTTGCATTGTTTTATATAAACGTATTCTGGATTTTCCAACAAATACTGGCTTGCCTTATTATTGTTCAAGCTCCCTAACTGTTCTGTTTGAATGGTATGAGCTGCTGAAATGAAAGCAAGACTGAAGTGAGGAGATGCTTAACTACAACACAGCAGTCAAACTCGGTCACTTTGTCTTTATCTACCCCCCATTGCACTTAGAAATACCATAGTCAGGGACATATTTTCTGCACAGAACTGGAGGAAAGATGACCTTTATCCAGTATGCATTTCAGTAAAATGGGAAATAGCGGTTTACTGTTACATGTTATGCTTTTTCTCAACGCTACACTGTTTTGTGGCTGACAGAAACCTGCATAAACATTTTAGTTTTCCCTTTTTAAATAATGTCTTCATCTACTGCTGTAGAACATTTCCTCCATTAAGACTCAACTTTAATTAGATATTTGATTAATTAGCACTTCAGAACACTGAAAATATGAATGTCAGTCAGGTGGATTTGCAGTTTTAAGTTGGCAGTGCTCTCTGATATTGTTATAATGCTCACTCCAAATTGTCTAATTTAATGTTGTATCGGAAAAGTCCTTTTGGTGGTTTTCACAAACATTGGAAAAATCACAGTAATGCTTTCGTCTTTAGTGAACTGTTAAGTTGTTGTCGTCATGTTGATCTTCAGTATATGACAATAACAACTTCTTCAAAACACTTCAGATGCACTAGGTCTAGTGCTTTTAAGTAGCAGATCTCAAAAGGATTTTTAAACAACTTCATTATTACGAGCTCTTGCCCTTGCCCCACACTGAAAATCTGCAGTCTCAAATTGACAATGAGCTTAGTAACTAAGGACTTTTTCTAAAATGTAATCTAGTACCTAGTTTGCTGCCTCAGTTCTCTCTTTTAATATTGCCTTATCATGTGCAGCAGTGATTGATAATGCAACATGCCCCTCACCTTCCTTCTCTTCTCACACCTAAAAAAAAAAAACCTCCTAACACATAAGAGTTGCTTGCAATGTTAAATCTACCATGAAAGTCTGAATAGTCAAAAGACCAGACCCTGATGTCTGCAAAACATAGAAGATCTGAAAACATATCACTCACTGTCTCATAATCAAATGGGAAAAGAGTAAAAAATATAAAGGATGGGGAGTAGTTTAGCAGTGACAGTCGTAAGTCTAGACTATCTGACTGTACCCGCGTTGATGGGGTTTTTATAATGGAATTGCTAGATTTCAGCTTCGTTGTTCTTTTGACTTGGGCTGATAGAAAGAGCAAAAAAAGTACTCACTCTTTCACATTTCCAAAGCAGCCATGAGACATTCCTTGTTGCTGAGGGACGTTACTGATCAGATAGTGCTTGTTTTTTGGGTTTTTTGGGTTTTTTTTTTTTGTTGTTGTGCAGAAAGTTTCTGAACAGCAGCTGAAGTCCCAGAGGTCTTTGATTACTGGTTCAGGAAGGTAGGTGAAATAGCTGGTAGCTTCCCAATTATGAGCAGAATAACTTTTAGGATTAGTAAGTTTAGAATTTCAAAACAGTTCTTTGCAAAAACCATCTCAAATGTGTCCTAGCTGACAGAAGATTTTTCAAGTCTTAGCTAAGTATTTAGTTAAATTTTGTTTGCAAAAAATTTTTTTTTTTTTTTTTTTTTTTTTAAATGGTAGAACTGTTTTGTAACAGATCACCAAATGTAATTACTATAATTTTTAGGATGTTTCCGAAGTTTTACATTACAATAACTACTTATGCTCTTTCCAAGTAAAGTAAAAATACTATTTTTGACTGACTTTTGCATTTTATAGCATAACAAACAGTAACATTATATTAAATTGTTATTGATGATCAATCAATGCAATGATTTGCTATGTCCAAAAATTCCTCAAATGTGGAAAAAAAATGTATTTCTTTACTACTCTATTAAGCAACTAGCTGCAACATCAATTGCTCTTAAAACGTTGTTAAAATTAAGAACAGTGGCTTAAAGATAACCGTGACCAAAGCTGATTTGCTTTTGAATCAGATAAAATGTTACTTTATCTTTTTATCTAATAGATATTTATATAAAAATATCCAAAAGTTACAACATTATCAGAAACAAGCGTCGGAAATGACGGCATACGCTGCAAGTTCTCAATAAAGCTTGAGGTTGAAGCAATTAAATCCAGGAGGTAAATACTTTCCAGAGATGACTGAAAAATAAGACTTTTTTATATCTAAGAAAATACACAAAGTGACAGGTCAAACTAGTCATTTGTAATGTTTGCATACAATATTCCATTTCTAATACTCAAGCGCAAAGAATCCTTTCATGTTACTTTTAATCAAACCCTTCCTCCATCAGGTTCTAAAAGGAAAAATTTTTTGGAATAGCTCACTATGGAGTGCTTTCTGAGCTCTGCCAAAGCAGCGCTTTAATTAAATAGCGATAGTCTTCAAGACTAGAAGTCCAAAATTCTAGGTAAACATCCCTTCATAACCTTGTGGATTTTTTCCTATGAATTATTAGAGGAACACAAAGTAAGGCACTGTTCTTGTTAGACCTCTAACAATGAAAGCGTGGTGGGCCTGTCCCACTGCATACTCATGCTTTTCCTCACACTCCAAACACTTGACAAGCTGGTCAGTAACCGCCTCCTCTTCTTTCTATAGCAGGTAAGTGGGAATGTTTCAGAGAAGACTTAAGTTCCTTCCGTTTCTCAGACTGTTGAGGAAATAATAGAAGTTTTACGTAGGTTCTGTAAAACACATTTTACTGTTATATTTTAATGAGTAAGAGTCTGTACATTCTTTGATCCAAAAAAATGTAACAGACTAACATAGGGGTTTCCTCACTTTTTGTGGGTGCAGTTAAAAACTGCAACGTGGGAGTAGGACAGGAAGTCAATTTGGCTACTCCAGAAAGATTTAATTTTGGCAAATCTGCACAGGAAGGTCTACAGTGTCATTTTGTTTTTTGGGTTTTTGTTAATTTTCTTTTACCAAGAGAGTTATTTTAAAATCCGATGTTCTCAGAAAGAAATTGAATAGTATTTAAAGAATAAAATCTCAAAAAAGATCCAACAAATCAGAAAAAAATCCTGCTAAATACTACTTCAGCTAATTCTTAAGAAAAATAATACTATTCTACCGCATGTTTTTTGCGATTTTTTTTCCTAAGCAACTTCTTACAAAGCTCATGTTGGTGAGCTCCATAACTAAGTCAGTGAAAGCAGCAGCTGCTCCTCCAGAAGGGGAGTTCCAGGTTTCAAGGTTAATCGCATGACAGAAAAACATTTGGAATTTTTTTTTTTTTGCCACTGTGATTTGTTTTTGTGAAAAAGCTGTTTGAGAGTTTTTCATGTACTCACTGTTATCTCATTTTGAAAATACAGAAGACTAAGAGTGAATACATTGAGAATTTTTCTTGTAGCTTAAATATAAACACAGTTTTAGTTGGCCAAAATTTTTAATCAGATTTTAATTTGCTGACTTCCAGTGTCAAATAAAAGTTCATGTTTTTCCTGGCTATCATCTGAGTACAGGATAGCTAGCTGGAAAAAAAAAAAAAACCCAAAGCCAAACTTATTTCCTCAAAGTGTGTGGGGGGGGGGGGGGCAAACAAAAACCAAACATTTTGTCTCTGCCAGAACTACATCTGTAAATTTTTATTTTATTTTTTTTAAACCTCAGAGGTAGATGAAGGAGAGAGAGGATGATGATCTCCTGGAAGAACTGTGGAACTGACCCTCTGACTAATAGCAACTATAACAACTATCTACTGAAGGGATTATGTGGTATCACAGCTTTTAAGTTCCAACTCTTGTGTTTCAGGGGCTAATGTGTGCGAGTGTGCATCAGACTCGATAAAGATCAATGTTTAAGCAGACCGAATAAAACCAGGTAATCGGCTTAAGTAAAACATTTGTTTCTAGCTAACAAGCTCAGTGTCACAAATTACTTTCTCTAAACAGGTTGACCATTCTTCCATTTAAATATTACCTGTCTTTGCCTTTCCTTTGGAATTTGCCACAAATGCAGAGGTTCTTGCCCTGCAGTATTTCCCAGTAATCTTACTTTCTTGTGCATGGCCAAAGCTTGCTTATCAGCTGCCCTAAATTTTAGAAAAAACGAAACACATCAGTTTTGTTTTAGACAAAGTTTGGACTCAGATAGAATAGTGCAAATTAAATAACTATGTTGACTGAAATTTTCTAGTATTGCAAGCCAAGCTTCATTTCAGTCCACTTCAAGTAATAAACACATTGTGCTCCCCCCACTTTTTAATTTCAGTTTTCAAGATTGAACTTGGAAGTCACTTGCCAGAATTCTTGAAAATAAGGATGCTGTAGTGCTTGATGGGCAGCAATTCGCTCATCAGGATCATATTTTATCATTGCATACAGGAGAGAGAAGCCTTTAGGAGACAAATTGTGTACAAGAGGAGGTATTCCTGTTCCTTTTTTAAAGGGAAAATCAAAACTTATAACTCTTGACCTGTGTTAACCAAGTTGAGAACAAACAGTTACTCATGAATATTCATTAAGAATTTACATCTTACTAAAAAGAATTATTCTAATCCGATGTAGGTAATTGCTTACTAGAGGAAAAAATAAGCAATACTTGGGAAAAAAATGTTTTCTTCCCTATGAAGTTACATCACTGGCCTTAAGTATAGAATTAAAAGGCCAGGTGAGATTTATATAGCTCAGATTTCCTCTTTAGGAAAGCCACAGTCATACTGTGGGTATATAAAAATTGAGATGAGTAACTATGGGAGTGCATACTTACTGCTTGAACTTATTGAGAGTTTTGTTGGCAGGAGTGCCTATAATGTCATGGATTTTTGATATTTGATCCAGTTCATTAGATCCTGGAAAGAGCGGCTGTAAACTGCAAAAAGAGATATTAAACTAATTTAATTGTGTTCTATAGTGCTCAGTGGCATAGCTGCCACTACGGCAAGAAGGTGGTAAGATTTAGGATTATTCATTTGTAGACAGTTTAATACCAGCCAAGAACTGAAGGATAACATGTGAGCAGCAGATTAATGCAACTGTATTTTTGGACAGAAAGGGTACATTGGGTTACTAAAAAGAAATCTGTAGTTATCCCACCCTCACAATTTTGGGGTAAATATGTAAAGAGAACATTCCTCCTGGTGAAAGGTAATGGATGTCGGACTGTTTTCTTCTAGTGAAGCAGCAGATCTCAGAAGAAGATATGTTTCCCTCCTTTTAAGACAGCAGAACCAAGCAATCCCTCTTGCTGTATATGTGCATATAAATTCCTAAGAAATGTTCCATTCTTAACACAATTGTCTTTACAAGAAGCAATACCGCAAAGACAGTAATTTGAACTGCACTCCTGAGCTTGATCCTCTGGGTAATATAAAACTTGCATAACGTCACTGAAGATTTTTTTTTAATCAATACAGCGATCTGACTTAACAAGTGAGGCACACCATTTTTCTTGTAGATTTTGCCTTTTCCCATACTGGCAAAGTGCTTAAATGAGATACTGTATCAAGTGTTTCCTTTGACATATAATTTAAGAAACACTTCTTCAGCAGCACCAACTGATTCTTGAAAGCAAAACCTTCAGCCCTCCTTATAGAAGGGACACTTTTAACCGTTTGCAAATTCAGTCAAACAGCTAGCTGCACGCTTCTTTGAACGTCTTTTATAAAGCTCTGAGAGGAGGAAGGAGAGAAAAGAGGTCTGACTGATGTTGTACAGCTATATCTCTTGAGACAGAAGCAGTTGGGAATGGCTTCTTTGCACTACAAAAAAATGCGTTCTCTCTAAGTGTAAAGCTGTAATTTGTGGAAATACAACTGTGCAATCCCAAAAAAGTAAAATCCAGGAATCCAGACTGATAAGGAACAGAAGGAGGGAGACCAAGGTTTGAAAGATAAGTATGGCCGAGTAAGAGATTAAAAAACATTTACAAGATGTGATCTAACGTTTAAAGGCTTACTTAAATGTTCAACAGCAAAAACAACAAGATACACTTAAGAAAACCAAAAACCTGTCCATAACTTCCTTTACTTTAGCAAAACTGTATCTTTTTAAATTCAGTTATTTCAATAAACATCCCTCATTTCTCTTCTCTATAACCAATCCTGGACACATCTATCAGGTCACTGAAGGCATGCAGTGGTTGCAAAGACTGAAATTTGTTAGGTTAGGCTAAAACTATGAAGAAATATAATTTTTCTTCCCCACAAAAATTGCAAGTTTGCAGCATGTAATTTTATTACAATATTTCAAAGTCCACCCGATTCTGACTGGAATGGAAAGAAATGGCATTTTGTAAAGCTTCTGGTCCCAATTTACTTCATAAGAGAACTGCCACATTTGAGGTTTTTCTGTTAACAGTTTTCTGACCGATGTAAAACTGTTTCTACAAGTTACCAGCCAAAGCATACGGGTTGTCATTTAATGTGATGATGATGGCAGCAGCTGCACTTGCCATGTGGAGGAGGAGGACAGAAGCAAAGCAAATGTTCTCTCTCCTGGTTGCATATCAGATGCAGCAGTGTGGGAGGAGAACGGAGAAGAACTGCTGCTGTTGCTAGGGCGCAAAGATACTGAAGAAACACTCACTGTTTTTTTTCTTTTTTCTTTTTTCCTTGAAGACCAATTACAATTTCCTTTTTGAGTTATAGTTTTTACATCTTTGAAAACCTTAAAGGACTTTATTTCAGGTTTTCCTGAACTCTTTCTTGATTAAAACCCAGCTTCAAAGTATTCAAGGATATAAGAGAACAAGGGTCTTGAACAAACCGTTTTATAAACCATACTAATAAGTCACAGAGAAGGTCTTCTCTAATCTCCTCTGTTGTTGCATAAGAGTAAGTCCACAAAAGAGAAAAAAAAAAAACCAAGTATGTTAACAAGACTGAGGATAGTTAACCATGCTCATGACAGGAAGTGAGCCGTATTCTATAAATTTGGAGATAAAAGTAGAAGAAATATTTTTTTAAAAAAAAATCAAACAAGTATAAAGCCAGTGGAAAAATCTGTTCAGTTATTGTCCCTGTAAATATTATATTGCAGATACTATTTTCTCTGGAAAATCCTACTGCTTTATTATTAACCTGCCATAAGGTGAAGCGAGGACCAGACCAGACAGGATTATTGCTTTATGCACCTCGCAGACTAATCAAACAAGAAACGTCCACAAAAAACATGGAAACGAAGATCATATTATTCATACCATGTGCTGCTGTTTATATGAGTTAGCCTTCATTTTCTTGATTAATAATAAGCAAGACCCTCCACTTAACACTGTACCTTGTGATTTCATAGAAAACACAGCCAGCACTCCACATATCCATTTTGTAACTATAGTAGCCATCTGTAAGTAAGCACTCAGGTGCTCGGTACCAGCGTGTGGAGATATATTCTGTATATGGCTGCTTAGAATATATACTCCTACAAGATCCAAAGTCTCCTAACTTCAGGGTACTCTGCTGCAAAAATAAACAACATGTTTTGACAAATTAGAAAACACCAAACTATTGAAGCAAATAATTTTCTTAAGTGTGTAAAGTAGTCATCATAAAGGTAATCACAGATTACTGTAAGAATAAACTTTCAGAAATCCCAGGGGACTATATAGACATAACAATAAAAAGTAGTTCCCTTATAGCAGATGTTTCATTATGGTAGTATTTTAACAGTACAATTGCATTTAAATAGTGAGTATCTCCAAGGCTGGAAGAGATGTATCCCATAATATGCACAAATAGTTTTTTATACATCATTAAAAGACAGAACTAAGGGTTAATTGTAAAACATATGGACAACTACTGAAGGGAAGACTGCTAAATAGAATATCTGGATTAATTTTTTTTTTTTTTAAAAAGAGTGACTGCGCTTAGCAGTGATATAATAGGTATTTTTGGCTTCTCTTTACAAAGGTTTGTAAAAAATTTAAAAATTTATAAATTGAATTTTGAAATCCTTGCTCTTCAAACATTAGCAAAATAGCTCTGAAACCATCATGAAAATAGATTTCAATGAAGCAGTCATTTGAAAACTAACATGTTCTGCTCTCTTTTGTATGAATAACTTCCTCTAACCTTGGAAATTAAACGGAGAAAGAAAGAGATGCAGAACTGAGCGCTATTGCTTGTTTCTAGGATAACACCAAAAAGAAAATACATATTAACACATGACAAAGAACAGGTTTTTAGGCTGGGGCGAACACAGGCTAGCTATAATGCAACTGATTCATTTTAGCCAATAACAAACTTGCTTGTTCATTCCTCTGAATCAGGAATAAGATAGAGGCAACTGCGTTTATGTTTATAAATATATACATATTTTAAACAGTCTGTTTATTCATGAAGATGCATTATGTTCTCAGAGTAGGCAGAAAAATACTGATATACTTCACTTTCAGTTAAATATTCTCACATAAGATTAGTTACCTTTATTAATATGTTTTCTGGTTTCACATCTCTGTGAAAAATTCCATTTCTGTATCAATATAAACACACCAGAGAGAAGAATTCAGTGAAAGGATAAACATTCTCAGTGCTTCTAATCATTTGTAGGAAAAAAAAAAATTAAAGCTTCTTTCAGACTTATTGACAGCACAGTAGAAAACTGAACTTTGCCACCTAGGAAGCACAACAGCTGCTGATACAGAACAGAAAGGGTAACAGAGGAAGAGCAAGAGCAGGAAGAAAGGGTCAGGCTTTCTGCTCTTGCTCTCACCAGGGTTACCGAAGGGTTGAAAGGGTCACCCCCTCCCAGTAGCACTTACTGCAGCAGATACTACAGCTGCCTCCTTTGGGGTGCTGGCTGCAGCATCAGCTGCCAGCTTGCCTTCCAAGGCTCTGCTCTAGGCAAAGGAGCATGGGGGCAATGGCTTTTTTTCCCCACCCTGCAGCAGTCTGCAGAATCGTATGTCTCTGCTTAGAGAGGACCCTGAAATAAATACATGATAAATCTACAGCAAAGCTGTTGCTGAACCAGGCCTCTTACCTGTGTATGTGATCGAGAGATTTGCATAACTGGTACATGTAGTTTATTATTTTTTTTTCAGGTAATGGCTTTCTCCTTCCTAGAATTAAATTTCATGTGGTACAAGTTCCTTTTAGCAAACAACAGAATACACCAAAAGTTCCTCTTCAGCTTCCAACAATACATTGATACTACCTTTCGCAATTATACCATTTCTATCATTCATAGCTAGCTTTGTAATCAAATTTCCACTCAAATTAGGACATAATTTAAATTTCGGTATAAACCAGAATAGTTCAGCTAACACAACTGTCAATTCAACAGTCTATGAGCTTCCTTAGCTTTTACTGTATGCTTTGAGAGACTTGGGAAAGGACGCTGCTTCAGATAATTAAGTTTTATTATCGTAACTTGCAATACCTGTTTATCCAAATTCTAACAGAACTAGAATATTTCATTTCTACACCTCTAATTTACTTTTAAACAAAGTAACTCTCCTTAAGGTTCAAGGCTCTCAAACACTTCAACTTAGTGCAGTGTTTGAACAGCTGTGATTCTCCTTTGACTTGCAAATTACAGGTCAACCCATGTAGTTTAGCTTGCTATTGCAGCTGTGCAATCGTGACAGTTATAAAATTAATCTATTTTTCAGAGCCATTCAAGAACTACTCAGCTTTTTTCTTTCACAGGCTCCAGAGGCCTTTTAATCTTGCTGTAATGCCTTTATATAATGCTACAATGTCATCAACAGAGGCAGAAACAATCACATTTTTGAAAAGACAAAGCAAGTAGTGATCTGCATGATGACAGTAGTATGAGTAATTGGCTGGAGAAGAGGAGGGAGATTATCAGGACACTAACTCATTGAGAATGCCGGTCCTAGCAGCCAGCAGGACTTGTGCTCCTCACTGATTACAGTACTCCTCCCGTCAGTCACCATAATCCACTGAGCAGGATTAGCTAACAAAGCACTTGAAAGAGCACCATTTACATTAGGAATTGCAAATGGTGTTTTCTACAACAGGATTTTTATTATTTATAATAGAAAAGCTAACATTAGATGAAATATATCTATTCAAAGCAACTCTGATTATTATCAGCATCTAAGAGTTAGGGCTTCATAATAAAAGACATGCTCAATTGTTTTCTCTTTACAGGTCACTGCTAAAACGTGGAGTAATTAAAAAGTGAATCACAAGAAGGCAGCACTTGCAGCTGCAATCATTTTTGTTTGAGGCATCTTCTCCACCTCTCTCTGAGCCTTATTTTTTCATTGCTTTAAATGACAAGACTGTTCTTGATCAAACAAAAGGCAAGATTGGTTTCCAGTTATTAAATTGCTTGTGATATGACTACAAATTAACAGCAAGAGAATTATGACTTTGTGTAAAAAATAGCCTTGATTGAAACAACATGAATCTGTCAGTGGAATTAAGGAAAAAGCCAAAAGGATCAACTTTTCTGATTAGTAACATTACAGTGAACTGTCTTCCTAATGACAACAAAAGTGTCTCCATACCCCTTGTTAAATTAGAAATTCATTCTCAGTCAATCTATGCTTTGAGTTTTACATTACAAAACTTTGAATAAACCATGCTTGCTTGAAATTTTTCTGACTCAAAGCTTTTTATAGTTGTTCTGCACCTGTATTAAACTTTCATAAGCTTTATATAAACATTTTACAACTTTTATTAAACATTTTCAAGGTTCATAATATTTGGAAAGTGACAAGTGTTAGCATTACTGTACACCGTAGGAGTATGCAAAAGACTACAAATTGTCCGAAGTAACACTTTTATACATTCTGAAAACAGTTTCCTGACAGACCATCAATAATACACACAGTTTAGTTGCTCCAGGTATTAGCAATGTATTCCTTCAAATCATAATTCTGAACAATACAAAGGAGCTCCTTCTACATGTGATCGTTATCCAGATATCCCCAGTCAATAAGTGTTATGGCTCAAAATTACTTTAATTTTCAATTTAATTACATACTTGCAATTTTTGCCAGATATCTATTATTTAAAATGACTGCCATATGTTTGATGGATTGACTCTGCAATAAGGCACAAAAAGCTGTTTGGGAGAGAAAGAGAAACATATCCGGTATTTCTGCCCCGTAACAAACTGCGGTGTTGACACTTATGTCCACCTTGAAACTCATAAATGAATTTCTGAAAAATGCATCAATTCCAAAATGTGAAACACTTGACACATTCAAGTGAAACACTAATACTCAAAAAATATCAAAATATTTAGTTTTAACTTGCCTGTTCAGCTGTATATTTTTTTCATTGTAATCAGAATCTCTGCAGGAATCTGTTGTTGTCATACCACAGGGCAAAATGAGAAAATGAACATCCCCCACCCTGCATGCTATCACCTCACACAGGGTGAAAACAGTGTATCATGGCAAACACAGTCCAAACAAAACGCAGACCACAAAGGAAAAAAAATAATCTATACAAGCTCAGGCACACTTAGATTAATGTTTAAATAACTCCTAACTGCACCACTTCAGATCACAATTGAACCAAGACTTCATTTTGAACTGATTCACCATGAAATAACTTTTTTTTTTTTAAAAAACAAAGTTGCAGGACAAATATCTTCCTGCAGAAAACTTAACTTTGATTAAGACGTTATTTTGTTATTCTAAAATTAAACAATAGTTTCAGCAGTATGTTCTGCTCTATCAGACTTATTTCCATACAATGTTTAATACCATAGGCTTTTCACACAAAAAGAATGAGAGAAATACTGAAAAAATGAACACCACATGAAAGCAAATACTCTGGAAAGTAAAGGGCAGTTAAAGGATAAACCTAAACATTTTGATTTTTATAACTGAAATATACTTTCTTTCCTGGAAGGAGAAGACGTAGGACTGTTTTTAATGCACTGGACCAACTTACTGTCGATGAGGCTTTCTTCCTATATTCTACTACTTACTTAGCCTTAATATCACAAGTTTATCCTGGAACAATAAAACACCTTATTAAAAACAGCAAATATCCATAACTACTTCTGTGATGATGAACAGGGTCAGAACAACTGTATTTTAATTTAAAATTTCTTCTAGGTCAGGAACAGGGTTACTCCCTTTGTTAGAGATGTCAATATACAATCTCACTAACGGAACATTTAGAAGCAAGTCTCATCTATACTCCTACCCTGGATGCCAGTTGTGCATAGAGTTATTTACATGAATCTCCAACTGTTAAGACATTACGAGTGCAATGAAAATACCCTCTTGTAATATTAAAATTGTAGAAGTGCCCGTCCATTTGCTATATCCAACTCTTCTGGTCTGTATGAGACTTGATTTTAAATGAGTTTTTGTTCTAAACTTTTTTGTAGGAACTCTTCCACAAGCTTTATGGTCTCCCACCTGCTTTGACAAACAGCTCCAAACTCTTTAAATATAGGAGGTTTCAGGCAGCAATGTGATTTTACAGTAAAAGCTTGGTAAAAGGTACTAGATATAAAAAATGGAAAATCATTGTTCTTCATTGATTTGGTAATCTTTCAAACAAATGGGAATAATTTTCTTGTTGCTTCATTACAGTCCTGACCTAACAAGCAACCTGTTTAAGTTGTATTATTCCTTGTTATATAAAGCAATCTTTGTGTTTTGTAATCAGGGTTGTTCCCTTGTTTTCATGTCAGGTTTGACTGTAGAAATAAATGACCATTGCCCTGACTCATTACAAAGCTTCTGCATGCATCCATGCTTTAAAAAGTGGGATATATTGCACTGGAAATAAATAACGCATAAAGCAGTACTGCAGAAATTTTTGCTGTACATTTCGCAATATGCAACTCTGAACAGCAAAGTGAAAAAAATTAATTCTACTTTGTGACCTTCACAAGGAGGTTTTGTATGTTTCTTAAACATATGCTACATACCTCTTATCAGCTCATAAATATTCATATCCATAAGTTCACATATCAGTGAAAGGGAGCCAGCTTTTTTGTCACTGAAGAAAAAAATAAGGAGACTTTAAGCTAGAAAAAACTTACATGTTGGTTTGTACACAGTGTAGGAAAAGGTACTTAGGTTAGTTAATCAGTATTAAAACTAAATATTTTCATTTTTATTTGATATTTTCTCATATAAGTTTTTCAACTTAAGGTCTGAAGTATCATAGGTTTAGTTTATACTATGCAAAGTGTCCATTGCAAAAGTTAACGGATTTACTCTGTGAAGTTAATTGAATGCACATTTTCTGGGTACACCGTGCTGTTTAATATCAAGAAATTTCCAGTAAATTAACTGATACAATCTTACACTAAAAGACAGCAAAGCCATTATGCCATGTATGAAAATACTTACTAGTTAAGTCACCAAAACTGTTCTGTTGCATGAAAATGAGTATCTAATTGGAATCTACATTTTGTTGACAATAGCAGTTTTAAGTGTTATCACAATATGATGCTACATCTGACACTATTCTCCATTTCACAGCCCTGCAGAGGCAGATGTCTTTTGCTCTTTAGCTTTTCTTATGAGAGGATAATTGCAGTAAAGTACATGCCCTCTGCAATGTTTCATCAACCCAGACAGCCAAGAGGTTGAGGGCACAATCTGCAATCCAGTTCATAGACAAACTGTGAAAGAGCTAGGAGAGCTGGCTGGCCATCTGGATTACAGTTAGTTAACAACACGGCAGCTGAATCCGAGAATTCCAGAAAGCTAAGCTGCTGGCCTGATTACCAGCTTTCCATATATTTGTGGGAAACAGATCTGTCAGTAACAGTATAGTACCAGAGGCGTGAGTAGTGGAATAAGACAGCTTGAAAAGGAAGGAAAAAAATATTTAAAGCAGTCAACAAGTTGTGTTAAGTATTTGAATAATGAACTAGATATGACTATAAGAATGACTGTTCTTGCATAGTGAGGAAGTGTAACTCACAGTAATGGAGTAAATCCTGTTGTAAAACCCAACTTTGTGAGGCAGAACATGTCCTAAAAAGACATTTAAGTGCCTAATGAGGCAAGAAGGAACCCAGCTTCACCACTGACTGATACCTCTTCAAATTCATAGCTCAGCTGCTGCCTAAATCAGCTCTCTAAGCTTCTATCATTTGCAAAGGGGTACCGGTAAAGGTAGCTACAAAATGATACTGTTAAATACTTTGCCTGGAACGGTGGTTCAAACTGACAAACAAAAAGCACGTTCCTGGAAGTATAGAGCCTGTTCCAGCAGATAAGCCCTCAGCATGCCTAAACACAACGCAGTCTCTAGTAGACATGAAGTTGGGAGCTGATGGATACGCACATTTATCTTCCTTATTTCTGCCCCTTTTCGAAAATAGGCTATTCGACAGCCTGGCAGTTAGAGCATGTACTGGATATGGGAGACATAGGTTCAAATCACTAGCAAGTATTATATACTATGATATGAAGTTTAGCTATGCTTAAAACATCCCAAGTCTTTCATTTTCATACTCATGTTGAAGCGTTTTTCAGACTGCTGCAAAAGAGTCAGAACAAGTGAAAACTATATCAGATCTGTTTGACAAAAAAGGACAAAGACCTGATAATTTGACAAACTTGCTGGTTTTTCTTTTTTTTGAAAAAAAAACTGGTTAAATTCCCTTAGGTTGTCTCTAGACTCAAAAGTTACTAGAAACAGTAGAAAAGGAATTAGGAGAAAGGAAGTGAATACATCATACTTACAAAACAACTTCATGTAACATAAGGACATTAGGATGTGGATTCAGCCGCCTTAGTGCTTGTATTTCTCTCAGATTATTCACTTGTTCAATACTAAAGTTGAATTAAAAACAAAAACAAGTGGAAGACTGACGTGCAATCAGGGACTGAATTACATTGTTTCTTCCCTGCAATGAGACTGTTAGAACCCCCTCCACTGTAGTCTCTACTTGAGCTCTCAAATACAGGACCAGATAAATTGTTTGCTTGCTTAGGTTTTTTTTTTTTTTAAATAGAACAAATCCATAGTCTGGAGAATGGGCAGCACTCTGGTTTTATTCCTTTTTGCAGTCCAGAGTAGCTGGGCTAAATCTAGACAAGGAAAGTAGTACTACATTGTTATGTGCTCCAGAGGTCAGTTACCATCCCAATTCCTCCCTAGGGAGGAATTTTGTCTCATAACACTATGATACAGTTGATTCTAAGCTGGTGTAGCATACATGCCAACTATTGCTCAGCATGATGCTGAAAGTGATAGTTTAGCCTTGCCAAAACACAACATTTAAAATTAAGTTTTAATGTTAACCCGTTATGCGAAAAATAAACACTATTCAGCTACTCAAGTTTCAATATTATCTTGGCCTTCTAGATGTTAATAAACAAAATTATATGCTACTGAAACTCTGGGAAGCATGAATAGCTTTGCACGCTATTTAATAGATCAGAACAAGACGTGCATGCCCCTTCACAGTCTGGCTTAAAGCTAGACAAAACACCAAATCTTTATTTTTTTTTCCAGTTTGAAACTCAGATAAACATCTTGTACAGCTAGGTTCTGTTTAAAACACTATTATCTCTTGCTAAAAGACAGCATTCCACCAAAAGAATCTGTCAGTCAATTTATCAAAGGGTTAAAAGCCTAAAACACATTTTAGCCATGCTACATGAAAAGAAATGCCTGCTTCTTATGCCCTGGGACTGAATTGTATACCGTCTGCCCTTGATGTAGCTAAGCAGCTACTTAAATACATTTTCAACCACAAATTGGACACATCTGGTCAGTAGAAGATAATGGATAAACAGACCAACAGTTTTCCACCATACAGCAGAGAATCAGAAGTCACATTCCTTGAAGATATTTGGGTTTGTTTTTTACTTACAGTAATTTTTTCAAACCTCCATTTTCCTTAGTCTCTGAAGCTCTGAGTTACATTATGGAATCTCACCTAAGAGCAAAAGGTTCAATTTCACTTCTTACTTACAGATGTGTCACTCCCACTGATATAAATATGAAATTAATATATTTAACTGAGAATACAAAGTCACCATTGCAAAAGGTAGCGTTTGGCGATTAATTATTTGCAGAATGTCAAATGTAAGTCTCCAATTACTTCCACATTGCCCTCTCATCTACTTTTCTAACTGATAAAAATTACCTATTTTGTAACTACGTAGTGCCTTGCTGATGGACATAATCAAACATAAATGCGAGTATGAAGTAGAACTAATACTACACATGGACTGAGGATAAATATAGTATTTTTGACTTGCATTAAAACACGAAACTGAAAAAACGTCAACTGGGGGGGGCACTTAAACATTTGCTGCTACTGTTATCTACAGCAGGAAGAAAAACAAGCCAAGCATATTCAGTGTACGTGGAAAGGCAGAAATAAACTGTTTAGCCCTCATTCCTCTCATGTCACATTTGGCCCAGAGGCCAGGAAACATTTACTACAGTGGGTGGCATCAATTGGAGTACACACTGAAATAAGCCAAATAGCAAGACCCTGTATTATCTCTTTCTATACTTTATGCAAAGCTTTAATACGTATGTATTCAAAAACCTTTATTTAGTCTTAATTTCACATTTCCCCACTGAATTCAAATAAGATTTTCAGTAATAGTATGATTAATTATGCATACCTTTCAAAATGTTGTTTCATGTGTTTACATGCATAGTATTTTCCATCCCTAAGACTCAGCATCTTCAGAACATCAGAAAACGTCCCCTCTCCTATCTTACCAACTGGTCTATATTCTAAAAAACAGAAATATACTGTTTCAGTATCTTTAAAATACAAATTGTTATAAACACTCCATAGCAATCCACTACTGATTTGCTAAATTCTGACTCCTGGCATATTTCTAAAGAAACAGTTTTTTAGTTAACACATCAGTTATTTGAGAGAAAATAAAGTGAATATAAGCAAATGGAACTTTGCTGCCCACACGGCAGCAATCCGTACTATCGAAAGCAAAATACAGTAATCCTACATTAAAGAATAAACTACTACCTCTGTGCTTAGAGATACGATGCTTCTGGATGCAGCACTGAAATAACATCCTTTTTTCCTGCTGTGGCACATTAACAACTCATAACTAAGGTTAGTCTTTGTTTCTCTCACCAAGAATACTTTCTGTTTGCTTTCTATTGAAGGCATACAATTATTTTGAAAAGTAAGTGTACCTTGGCATTTTTCCAGCATGGTTTTTAGCACAGCAGCTCCTGATTAAAAAGAATAATTCCCCTATTAAATTCAGATGTGGGTTTTCAATGGGGAGGGGGGGAAGCTTAGCTTTAATATCAAAGTGCATCTAATATCAGAAAGAAGGTTGTGAAAGTCAGTACGTCTGTAAGTTTTAGTTTCACAGAAGTTTAGGAGATTAAGCAAATAGCCTAAGAGTCATAAAGAAAGCTTTCTTTATATTAATTCTTGAGTCTTTTCTTGATTTCTTTCAAAACTCAGGTTCATTTTCTTTCCTCTTTTATTCTCTTTCAGCTTTGTGATCAACTGTTGCCTTACCAATCCCACTGACTGGATTTTTCACCCACTTGCCTCCCCTTTCCCTTTATTTTTAGCACCTACAGATTCTATCCTTGATAATTATAATTTGATAATTCTATCCAGTAATTTCATCTGAGGAAAAACCAATTCTGGTTAGCTCTATGCTACTGCTGCCTTTGACAACCTCTTATTACTCAAGAAAGATCCAAAACCAGTCATCTTGGGGGAGGTGGAGTAGGAAACCTCTTATTCAACCTTTTACAGGAGTCAGCATGACTGTAGGAGTCTTGGGCTACGTGGTAGCAGTAAATCCAGTAAAATGCAATTGTATATATTAGTTACTGTGACAACACTCCCCGGCATGGATTTGGCCCATGCCACCCACCACTCTCCTAAGCACCTCTCTAGCCTGGTGTGAGGAGTCAGAACTTTCTAAGGTTCTTCCTCAAATACAGTTGTCTTTTTTTTGGAGGATAAGAGAATTTACTAGCAGAGAAGTTGGGCCACTTCATATCAGCTGGTTTCTGTATCCAAGAACACTTCCAGATGTGTTTAATTTACAAGTATAAACACAGCCTCAGAGTGGAGAAAGCCTGCCTTTTCTGTAGCCATGAGATTTCACAGAGAGAAGAGTTACTTAAGCAGAAACATTCTAATTGTGTCTTTCAACTAGCAATCAACTTGCATTGTCTTCATCTCTTTTCTCCCCCTCAACCTTCATATTCATTCCTTTTACAAAGAAGTCTCCCTTTCCTTGTGATCCAATTGCTTACCTGTTGCTTGTTTTAATTATTAAAAACTTTCCCCCTATAAATCGCCCTTTCTCCAACATAGGAGCAACACTTCTGACAGAACTGTATTTTGCTCTTGTCTTTTATCATCAGCTGCTTAGGTTCTTTCTAATCATCATCCATCATGCTGCTCCTCTGCTGGAAACATTTTTGCCTCCTAGACTTTCTTTAAAAGCTAGCTCTCTCCAGAAATTCAAATATCCCCTTCATTTCCTACACACTTCCCCCTTTTCCCCCCCCAAACTGACGAACTGGGCCATTTAAGTTAGAAAAATAGGAAAAGCAGAGCAATTTATAAACAATGACACTGTCTAATGCCTTCTATAAGCAGAATTTACATACAGAGCTATTTTAAAAGTAGAAACAGAATTTGAAAATCATTATGGGTAAATGAGGCAATACCTATCAAAGATATTCCAAAACAGTGAAGAGATCAAGAGGCTCTTGAATTCTGGTGGCTGTTTTTTGATACACCTGGTCAGTTAACAGTTCAAGCAAGGTGACCCCTAACCTTCGGTGACTGCTAAGCAACACTACTGAGCAAGTAACATGCTTTGCTGGCAAGATCACATTTTTCACTGTTTTTCTTCTACCCCTCCTCAACTTTTAACTTCCTGTTTAAATAGCTAGATATAAGTTGGAGATGATTAATTAAAAATAATTAAATCTCACTCTTACAGAGCTCTAAAGAAAAATTGGCAACAGATTTTTTGGTAGCCATTGATATCCTGCAACCAGTCACATACACACCGACTATCCTGTACGTTCACACAACAACAGAGCCAGTCTCTGCAGCAAAAATACCCAAGGCAGCTACAAAAACCTAGCTATTTCCTGACCTATTTGGTTCTAATAAATGGCAATATCATATATAATTTTTCTTAAGTGCAAGTAATTGATTCTCTGGCATAAAAAAATAAAATAAGATGAACTGAAAATAAAATATGAATTTCTATGGTATTTCAGCATTGTGTGTTAAAGTTTCAAAATACTTGGGCAAAGAAACACAGGTAAAGCATTATTCTATAAATGTATTTGAAGTATCAAGAAATATATAAACAGAAGTCAGATACGATATGTTTATTTAATTTCTTGCTTATATTTTCTCCTATACCTGTATTTTTCCCCTGTAAGATAAGTCCACATTACAGTGGAGGGCTCACAAATATTTGATTTTTTTTTTTTAAACTTAGTAGTTCTAGTAGTTTAAGAAGAGTTAGCTCTTCATTCACTTCAAAACATTCTTATAGTACCTAAAGATTTTTTTTCCCCATGTAAACACAGTGTACGGTATGATATCTTAATTTTAGTAGGCTAGCTACGCACACACAAATACACATATAGGAAACACCTGAAGCTTTAACCTGGCAAACACTTAAGAGAGAGCTATTCCCTCCATGAGCAGAGAGCTGAATAACATCGATTGATTCAGTGAAGTCCAGAATTAGGAACGAAAACTGCATTATTTGAAACTTCTCTTTGAGGCATAAAATCAACATGTAAACTCTCAACAAAACATGACAGGCCACTGCAGATTAGAGACCTTTTCTCCTAGGGAGAAAATGAGAGAACGAACATGTTATGAGTTAGTTAATGTTTAATGCGATACTGAAAGGAACTCAGATTTTCTAAGAATAATAGTGTAAGAGTTTATATAGAATAAGGAGAAATAAAATTTAGGCTTGCAGCGTATTAACAATTTAAAGTAAATTTTGAATTTGCGTTCACAAATGAAAAATCTGGAGATTCTTAAAAATCCACTTCAGCACCACATAGTCACTTTTGAAGAACCAACTAAGTGACCAACACTAAAGTTCTACTAACTTCAGACAAACACTGAAAGAGAATAATTAGGTTAAAGCATTTAAATTTTAAGCTACGAAGCTTACTACAGCTGCAAAACAGAACTAATTACTAGTCAATATATATCTGATTTGTGATAGTCTCAGGTGAAGAGTGACAGAAGTTTTAAAAGCGTTATGAACGTTTCAAGAGTGACATTTCTGAGGAAGAAACGAAAGAGTAACAAATGTCTTAATTGCACTTGCATATAACATTAAAGAATAAAGCCTAATCCCCAGCTAGTGATTCGTCCAGGGGATCTATAACAAGCTAGATACCTGTTTCCTACTACCTATCCTCTCCCTTTCCTCCCCTTGTTTTCAGCATACAGCGATGTTCAGGCTTAGAATAGCTAGAGGAAAGGCAGAGAAACGTTAGAGAAATAGAATAAAGTTCTACAGAAATCAACAAAATGAGTACAAAAGACATGGCAGAAGTTACCTGTGCAAAGAATAAGATGTAGCAATTCAAACTATTCTAACACCACAGAAGCAGCCATGAGAAGGACAGGAAGGTAACCATTCAAAAGTACAGGTTAACGTGAAAGAGACTACAGGAATGAGGAAGTTAAGAACAATATAAAATGAAAATTATGGGCAAGGGATGGAACTCAAAGACTGGACCCATATTACTTTATCTAGAGAGCATAGAAAATCTTTCGTAATTTGTAATTAAAGAATTCAATGCAAAAATATCAGAGAAAGAGTGCTGCAAAGAGCAACATGGGAAAATGATAGAAACCTAAAGCACTTTGCTAGGAAGACACCAATATGCCAAGTAAGAAAAAGCCATTGCATTTACATATTTTATAGATACACATGGGAACAAAGGAAGAACAAAGAAATGTAAGAGAGCAGACAAGAAGTTCAGGTTCACCTGAACATGTCCATGTGGCCATAGCATGTAGATAGCACATTCAGTAAAACATGCCATAGGTATAGGATATGACATGAAACATGTGGAAAAGGATGGTAAGCAATGGAAGGAAAGGCTTGCAAATCAAGTGAAGAACGAGAAAACTTAGGGATTTCTCATTAATTAACTGGAGAAATCCGACGATAAACAAGCTGCCACCTCAGAGGAACAGGGGAAAGATATTTTAGCACGCTGCTGAAGACAAGGACTGGACACATAGAAAGGAGAATGGCGTTTACGTGCTCAGGCTCGGTAGGGGAATCTAGGAACCGGCAGTGGGCGGTTTCCACGTGGTACAAGAGCGCCCACCCGCCGCGCAGCTGCTGCCCGG